GCTATAATTTTAAGAGGGGGAAGGTAGATGAAAAACTACTGAAATAAGTTCTTACTAAATATTTATTTGTGAATAAAATTTCAGTTTTCTATATCAAAGGTGGTAGAAATTTTGTAAATAGACACAAGAACAGACGGGCAGACGAGCAGAGTGGAACTGATAAGTTCTTTTTTTCCAAATTTTTTTGAAAAGTGACTAAAAATTAAAAATATTTGCAAAATAACCAATAAAAATATAAGTACGTATTTATTTTTCAACAATGTGGTAAAAAAATACTAAAGAAACGTGTTTTTATAAAACGGGCTTAATTTTTGTAGTTCTCTAGTAAGTTGCTAATGTTTTGCATTCGAAGAAATTTTTATACAGGTATGTAAATAAATTACGGCTTATTTTATTAAAATAGGAAATAAATATTTATAAACGTATTTATAAATGTTGAAATATGTTAAATTTATAAGTACACTTGTTATAGAACAGTAATGATAGGGATTTCAGAAAACGATAAAAGATTATACAATTACAAAGTACTTATTTATTAAAATTTTCAATTTTTAAATATATATGTCAGTGACGAGGCGTGCCATATTCAAGAAGACAAACACGCAAAATAATATTTTTTTTCGAAGATTTGAGCAAAAAATTCGGAGATGCATGAACGAATTTCTACCAATTAAACTACAACCATCCTTTAAACTATAATAAAAAATATATTGACAAAGTTTTTATACAGAACTTTGTTGTTCATGTTTTTTGTTTAGTTCAGAAAACTTTTTTGAAAACAATATACTTTTATGTTACTCTTTTTTCGCTTTATATCCCTTTTAGTATTATGTAATGTAGCACAATATCTGTAGTGTTCCGCAATAAATACTTACGCCGAGATAAAAGAAATCGAAATATGGCAACCACGATATTCTCCATAAAGTTTTTAACATTCTTGATTAGGTGCGGTTTCTCTAGGACAATTTTATTAAAAGTTATCGCTATGTGCATAATAGTTTAACCCAATATTATATCGAAATGCAATTGCTATAACAGCTTATATAAATGTAAGATTACAATTTAAAGAATTAGAAGTATGTAATATTGGCTTATTTTCTCTTAAGCTATTACTGTAAACAAAATTTTTGTTATGTTACTTGAAAATTATATGAAATGTTATAAGCTCATCCCAAGTAAGCTTTTACAGTATGTTTCAAATTGCGGTAACTAAAACCTAAACTCTAATTAATATTTTGTTGCATGTTGAAATGCTGAAATTTTAGCACTCAAAAATTATCTTGCATCATGAGAAATACAAGCTCGCTTACTAATAAAAGAGAATTGATATATTATTGGCACCTAAAGATTCAATTCTTAAATCAAGATTCAACTCTTAATGTCCACAACTCCCTATTTGCAAAACTCAGTATCCTTCTACAAAAAAAACTATGGATCTTCAATTTAACGGTTCATGATTGCGTAAAGGAAGCATGTACTTGTTGCATGTGGTACGAGGATATAGCTGGACGTGGTGGATATGAAATTTCATTTCGTCTTTTTAAACATATTGACACTAAAGAAATTGAAATTCTAGAGCGATTTGTGTGTCGGTTAAAATAAAAACTCCTTTGTTATTGTTATGTTTTTAATAGCTTTCTAGCAATTACGAGATCTTGAACGATTTAATCATTTTAACAGTAGAGCACATAACAGAGTATACATATGTAGATATGTAGATTCAATTTCCCAAATCCTAAAAAAGACAATAATTGCTGCAAATAAAAAATCCGATCTTCAAGACTTATTATGCTTTATTATATAAAAGCTTGTCGTATGTTCTTTTTTATTTAAAATTAATAATTAATTGAAATGTGATGTTAAAGAAAAATGTTAAAATTATTATTTTTTTTTGAAAATATAAAGCAATTGATTGAATTTACGTATGTTTATACACTTCAAATAAAAATTAAATACATACTGGATACTAAAATTAGTATCTATAGTACCTAATATACATATATTTTTTTTCAAATTATGATAGCTTACTTTAATATTTGATATATCAAATTACTTTGATTATTTTTCTCGTGTAAGTTATAATAACATTGTATAGCAAAAATTTTATTTAAAAGTTAGAAATAAACATTGAAATTATAAAATATTACGAGTATGATTATGTTATAAATACTTTCTTGCGTTCAAATTAAATTTTCATTAGAGTATTTTGTTTAAAAATAAATCTGATGTGGTCAGCACATAACCGACCGCAATGTGTATTGTCTAGTTGAGTGAAAGTGTTACAGAATATTATAAAAATTCCTGTTAAATACTTCTTTCCAATTTTTAGGGCAATTGTAAGCTTATAGTTAACATACCTAGAAAAATATAAATTTGGCTCTTAGTAGAGTTTCGTGTTGAGCTACCTAAATTCCCTGAAATTCTCGCAAGTTGGTTTCGGTAACAACCAGAGCTCAAATAATAAATTTCAATAAAATTCCATCAATTTGTTCCATAGATATGGTAAAAAATGTAAAATCAGCTCCCAGATAAGTTTACGAGCGCTGATCTTTCCAAAAAATTTATATGTTAATTGTTTTAATACAGAGAATTTAAATATTAAAATTGAATGAAATTGATTGCTTATTTATCTTTATATATTGAACGTTCAGTTGCTGACACCTGATTTCTTCCAAAAGTTATTAGGCTTTGGACAGTCTTGTTCTGAATGTTGAATCTGTTGAATATTTTCTTCCTAATGATCAAAATTGTAAAACAGGCCCGCTAAGAAGTGCAGTTCTCGAGGCCTGATACATCCCAAAAGTAAAAAGTACATATAAAATTTCTTCAAAATCTGTTCAGCCGAACTTGAGATATATGCGTGCACACACAGACAGACAGCCCGACAGACTGACAAGTTACTTAAAATAGTTTATTTACACTTCCCTGTCATGAAAATGTGTTCCCACCAAAAACTTGATGTGCAAAATTTGTTGTCATCACATAACCCACCTATTGTATACATAATGCGGTCGGTAAAAAGAAACATTTTATTTGCTGCGAAAATTTCTTAGGAATGGTACATTTAAATAATAAAGTTGTTTAAATAATAAAAATTATTTAAATCAAACTACTTTCATTCATATAAGAATATATTTCAAAGATTGCATACTTTAGGATGAGCATTGCATGTTCATTGCATTGATTTTTTCGCTAGGATTGTCGTTTGGACTACGAACCGAAGGAAGATTTTGGCTTCCTTTTTGGATACGAAAATGTTCTTTTAAATAAAGATTAAAGCAGATTTATGAATTCATAACTTATAGGTATAGTTTAGTTTATGTTTGAATGAGAATAAGGGCCGTATCGACTTTCTCGCTATTTTACTTGGAAGGTGAGAAGAAAATGAGTAACTACCATATATCTGCATAGTGTAATTTTCGATTGAGAAGAATTATTCGGTATTACGTATCTTGTTTTTTTTTTTAAATTTATACAAAATGTATTCACTTTGTTTTTGAAAGTGGGACGATCAGTTGATAAATTGAGAAAAAATGCAAAAATCTAATTTAAAAAAAAAGTAATCATTGTTGCAAAAATGAAATATCGATTAGAAAAATGTAGAACTCTGATTTGAAAGTGAACAAAAGTGAGTAAAAAAGCGAGATAACGATTAGGCTGTAAGTATGAAAAATATTAAATTCTGCATTAAAAAATTGTTTTATAATCGAGTAAATTAAGTAAAATTCAAAAGAATATTAATGTCGTTTTTATTTTTATAACCATCTTGTTTTTATATTTTCAAATAATGAAACAATTTAGTTTTTATTTTTTTGTAATTTTTAAATTACTGCAGCCATTCAGCCACAAATATTTTTTTCAATTATAATATCTCAGTCTATAGGTAAAATTGGAACGTTCTTCGTTGTTTGCATCATAATGTGAAAAGAATAAGTGTCGATGGCTTTTCCTTGCTTCATATTGTTAAAATTATGCGTTAATAATAATAGTTTAATGTGTACACACAATACAGTATGTTATCAAAATAAATTGATGAAATTGTCGCTAGTTTTTGGGGTAGACTATTTCACTGCTTAACAAATGATAGTTTATCTTATGGCAGTAAAATATGTTCATATAATTATTGTAAGTAATGCGTAATAAATCAATGTTTGTTGAGCAATATTTTAGGTTAGAGAGTAAGTATGATTTTCATGGAATTAAACGGATTTTTGTATAAATTCTGAAGGAAACAAAGACTTTTTTCAATTGATGAAGTCTACGGCTCTGGTACGTACATACATATGTATTTAAAAATAAGCAAATTATAATTTAATGTTAATTTTTCTTCAATTAAATGGCAAATTATTTCTTTAATTTAAAAATTTGAATTGAAAGTAAGTGTGTAAAATATTATAATACATACTTAGTTTCTAGAAATAAGTTGGTAAAATATCTAGAAGAATTCATGTAAAGAAATTTAATTATTAAATTTAATTGTTAATCGGCTTTTCAAAACATACTAGATAAAAGTGGAACAACACAAAGAAATTCAAAGAACTATATGCTATTCTTGATGTTGATAATTGTATCTATATACATTTTATGTAAATAGATTAAGGTAAGAAAAATTTATAAAATTTAAAACCTTCTCTGTTATAATTCTAACTGACATAACATATTAATACAAAAGAATTTTATTAGATTTTATTTTAAGAATTTTATTTGTTAACAAATAATGTATCATGAAATCCTGATACAGCTTCAATTTTTAAATAAATTTACTTAACACCTTATTCAAACAGTATGTTTCTTAAAAATATATTGTTTTTTCCTTATAATAAGTTACGGTTATATTTAATTTTAATCAATTTTTTTTAACACTGTTTGGAAATATTACTTTATCGTGAGAATAATATGAAATCCAAGTTCAAATTAAAAAAAATAAATTATTAAATAAACAATATTTTTGCCTTTAAATATTGTACATCGGTTTAATTTTAAATTTAGTATAGTTCAAAATGTTGATTCGTTCATTTATCGGCATTTTTGCAGTCATTTTGGCACTAATTTCAAGTGCAAATGCGGATGTTTCTAATTCTACTTCAATCGTGGATGATAGAATTGTTGGTGGTGTAGCACAGAGAGTTAGATATCGAAGATATCAGGTCGCTGTTGTATTAGCGGAATATATTTGTGGGGGTTCATTAATTTCTATGGTATTTAATTAAATATTTTGTAATTGAAATAAATGAAAAATTATTTTAATATTTAGAAATGGGTTTTATCTGCAGCTCATTGTGTATATCAGGAGTCCGCAAAAACAACATATGTTCGTGCTGGGTCTAATAACTGGGATTACGGTGGAGTTGTAAGGTGGGCGAAAAGACTTATTCGTCGTCAAGATTATAACCCGAATAACTATGACAACGATATTGCTCTAGTACTTTTGAAAAAACCTTTTGTAAAAGGACCTTATATTAGTGCAATTGCAAGAGCATCACATTTACCAGCGCAAGGTAAGAAATTAAAAGTATCTGGTTTTGGTACAACTTCATCTGGTGGAGACTTGGCACCTTATTTAAAAAGTGTTTGGGTTGAAATGTTTTCATTTAGCAAATGCCAAAACCTTTATAGCAATGCTTTAACAGAAGCAATGTTTTGTGCTGGAGTACCACAAGGTGGAAAAGATTCATGTCAGGGCGATTCCGGTGGTCCAATAACATTTAATGGGCGTTTACTAGGGGTTGTTTCATGGGGTTATGGATGTGGTAAGTATAATATAGTGGATTCTTGTATAATTTTGATGTATTTACTCTAAAATTTCATATTTTTACTAATGATTATATATGTATGTATATATGTTGTTGCAGCTACAAAACAATATCCAGGAGTGTATACTAGAGTACCGCTTTATAAGGGATGGATTAAAACAATGATGAAAAATTATAAATAGTCATTGCCTGCAACAGCTGCGTTTTGTGTTTTAACGCATTTTCTAATGGGCACTTGCATTTTGAATAAACTATAAGCTTGTATAAATTTAATTATTGTGGAAGGAATTGACTAGTTTTGTAATTTTAATATATAAATTTAAGAGATTAATTACTCAAATATTGTTTTTTTTTTTTCAAAAAAATATAATTGTGCTAAAAAATTTACCGGAATCGACATCAAATTAAAGGTTCAATATATGAAAAGTTTAAATCTAAGCTTTTTACATGGCATAAATTTTAACTACATATTTAACAATTATTGTTATATTGTTATAACAATTTACCTCCATTCTCACTATAAAGCAGTTTTCAGCGTTTATTTTTTACAAAGATTGTTAAACACCTAAACATTATTATGAAAATGAAAATTTAATTACAATTTTGAATTATTTATCGAAAATTTTTAGTTTATTCTTTAAAGTTAGGTGTACAACTAGTTAAATTTATACATAATACTTTAGTAAGATGTTGGTTGCTTGAATGGGAAGGATATTTTAACTTTACATATTCTAACGAAGGATGCAAGGCCTTATAAGAATGTGTTGTTCCAAAAGTAAGTTTTTTAACTACGGTTAAACTTGATATTCTTTTATTTCTAATAGTTCTATTTCAACAGGTGATTTTTCCTGGATAATTTATTCAGATATTAGATATATCTGAATAAATTTATCCGTCTTCGATAACATTGCATTTAAATAGATTGAGAAAATAAGTAAGCGTATCTTTTAGTTTTTTTTAATCCCCAAATCTATTTTCAAAAGGTGTTTTAAGTTCTTTTACCTTTTCATAGTATTCTGTTGACATTTTCCTTTCCTTGAGTTTTTTGAGTTAAAAATGATTTAATAATTTATTTTTAAGATCTTTATTGCAAAAAGATTCGAAACAAATTTTGTGATAAAGCAATAGCTTTATCTTTCCCTTGCAAATTAATAATTAATTTCTCTAAATTTAACGTATTCTTTTTTTCCCTTTTAAAAATGTTATAATTGGATTTTATAATTTAATAATTGTTCAATAATTGTTTACTTGTAAAAGTTTCAAGTGAGCCGCAAGTTTGAATTGATAACACAACAATTAAAAATTGCAAGAGTCACTATCGCTTTTAGAGAAAAAATATTTGCGCCAAGCCTATTTTTTGCTGTTACTTTTGTTTTTGTTTTTTGATCCACTTTAAGAGAGATTAAAACTCTCAAATATATTGACCTCATCCTCTGAGTTACGAAAATTGGAGACACAATAAACTGTTGAAAAAATTTAGCATATAACTAACGAAAAAGTGGAACATTGCAAATTCTAAAAACAGAAAAAGAAAGTTTGAATAATTTTATATTATTAATAGAAGGAGTCAGGTAAGTCATACGTTGGAGCAAAAATATCATAGTCAATTAGAGTGAAGTTAAATTAAAACAGTATTGGTCTGAGTTTTAAGCCCATGAACATTTTGGTTATAAAGAAGAAATAGTTTGACAGCGTTCGTTATAATATTTTTAGAATTTTTGAAACTGGACCTTTTTCCAGTTTTCTTTATTTTTTTATCTTTTGTATATTCTTTATCTTTATTTCTCTGCTTTTATTTATGTTTTGTCTTTATCGTTACAATAGGTGTAATTACGTAAACTGCTACACAATTGGTAGGGGGAGCTTCTTCAAACATTAAATGTTCTAAAATGATTGGGTTGAGATTAATGATAGAAAAAACTTATTGTTTGCAATTAATTAACTCATATGCTTTCACATGGTCCGTAAAAGTTTGAGGACTTTCTTTTTGCAATTTAAATTTTTTTGTTAATTAGGCTTCTTTTCGTATTTCCATGTAAATGTAGACAAAAGTGAAACGAATATTAGATTGATTAACTTTGAATATTTTGTTCATTTTAAACTTTTTAACATGTGTCTTTGTGATGAATTGTGCAATTGCGAATTACAAGGAGACTACATATTATTTAAATTTTTTGCTCATATTTGTGGAACATACACACATCTTCTGTTTTCCAATATTTGTTACTGACACCTCTGGTTTGATCGAAATAACTTTATTTCCCTGTTTTCTAAAATTTGTTAGTGACAACTTTGATTTGACCAGAATATCTTTACTTCCCTAATTGAAAGTTAAATATATTTAAATGTAGATAAATAATTTTCGTGTTCCATTTATTGCAATCATCCTTGTTCATGTTTATAGCAAATCAACTGTTAACTATAGTGGCTGTCAATGTTTGTATATAGGCTTGGCGCAAGTATTATATATCAGTTTTTGGAATATTTTCATAAACGCTGAGAAATCCTGTTAAATAGGTTTCAAGGATGCTAGCGGTAAGGTTCCTACAAATGTGGGTAAAAAAAAACAAAAAGGACCTAGTTAAAAAAATTTTATTTGGTAGTAGGAATGTAGCTCTGAAACATTATTCGAACTACGAGTATTTAGGTATGCAATTTAATAGTAAATTCAAATTTAATTGCCATATAAAAAAAGTTTAAATAATCATCATCATCATCATTATCATCATATGGTGCTACAGCCCGGGGTGGGCCTTTGGCTGTTGTACAATCATCTTCAAAATTATTTAAACGACTTCAAAATTATGTCTCCCAATAACAATATTTTGTACAGTTATTCTACTAAGATATTTTGTTTTATTTTCGTTTATTGTAATCGCTTCGACGTTATAATTATATCATCTGCATTTGCGCCTTTTCGGGTTGATCTATTTATTATATTTCCATTTCTGTACAAATGTCGAATCGCATAATGTAGTACCAAATTAAAAACAGTCGGTGAGTATCACCTTGTTTGATGCCAGCGCCAAACCTAAAAACCGCTGTTAATTTAGTTTAATTTGTTAAGTCTAATCAATTTTGCTGGTATACCAAGGCTGGTATAACAGAGCCGTTATAATTGTATTCCTTTTGATACCATCGAATGCTTGTTTTAAATCTAAAAATAGCGGATGAACATCCTGGTTCTATTCGTATAGCTTCTCCATACTCTGTTTCACCACAAAAAATTGATCTATAGTCGATCTGCCTTCCCTGAAACCGCATTGGTATTCATACAAAATGCCTTCTGCAAATGTTTTTAATCTTTGCGAAATAATACTAGCCCGTATCTTATATGCAGCACTCAAAGTACAATCAATTACTTTATCAACATTATTGTGCTGTACGTTATTAACTCAAAGCGATATTCTAAAATAAAGTACTCAAAAAATATTAGATCTAAAAGGTGCTAATCATTTATTTAATTATATACTTTTTTGTAATTATTTGAAGAGCTTTTCTTATTTTAAGTTTTATGTTATTATTTATTAGGAAAAAAACATATCTATGTGTATATTATAAGTGTGTTTTTGAAAAAGAAAAACCAAACTTAAAATATCTCATATACAGAATGGAACACAATTTGAAAACTATAAACATTATACTGCAAAACTTACAATACAAGTGTACACGACTAGTTTTTAGCACTTTTCCAAAAAATTTTTGAAAAAATGTGTTTATTATTTTCACTCTGTCTGTCCGTCTGTCCATTTGTTCGTGTGTCTGTTTACAAAACTTCTACACCCTTGAAGATAGAAAACTGAAATTTTATATCTACTTAGAAACTAATTTTTGTAAAGAGCTAAGTGCCTCAAAACCCTAAAAATACCATTTTTCAACTACTTATTGTAGTATAACCACATGCATTTTCTAAATTTTTCAAACACAGAAAAGCATTGGGTTGCTTCTTCTACTGCGACATACTATACTGGAACTTTAAAAAAACAAAATGTCAAAAATCCGTTTTTTCCAAATGTCGTTTTCGTTGAGATATCGTTTTTCTCCTAAACCTAAAAGGTTGTAAAAGTCTGAAATTTTAGAAGCTGTTAGAGGATAAAAATAGTTCATTTTGTTACAACAAAATTTTTTGTCCAGCTCCACCTCCTCTCAAGTTATCGCTTTTCGAAATTTGTAAAATTTGAATATCTGTCACCTTATATTTGCGAAACCGTAAGCTTTTTCAAATTTCTATAAGCGCAGAAAGGTAACGGTAAATTCCATGCTATTAAAAAATATAATTTTTTTTCTTAACTCGCCCAGGTAAGTAGCCCTTAAAATCGAGCATTATGTATATCTCTTTATATTAATTTTTGCTTTATTTCAAGACTGCATAAATCGTTCATCCTAAATATATGCAATCTTAGAAATAGTTTCGTATATGAATGAAAATAATTTTAATAGTGTGGAAGGTACGTAGGTAGTGCGGTAGATTGCTTTTAAAAGCATTATTTTCAATTGTTGAAGGGAAAAGTGTTACAATACAAACCATTGGTTTGATCCAGCTTTATTTATTGTTCTTTTCGTTCTTTCTATCTATCATATTAGGTATGTTTGAAACTAACGCATTAAAAATATTAAACGTATGGCTGTGTTTTTATCTCGCTTTAATCGTATCTTGAAAACAAAAAAACATAGTGAAGCCAAAAACTTCGGGTAAGTCTCTAAGTTCTTTGCTCTTAGCATTGTCAAACTGAAATTTATATCAAACGTCAAATGTTGTTTTTTATCCTTGGAAAAGTACGCCGCGCTGATATAAATAGTGAACAAAGAAGGTTTTGTGATTTTCAAAATTTTGCAAGAAGAAAGAAGTACATAATTCTAAATTGTTGTTCTCATTTGAAAGAACAAGTGGAAGCTTCCTTTATATGCAATTAAAAGAAATATAAGAAGCTAAGAGTGTGGATCACACTGAGTGCAAATATGTTCGAAAATATTGAAACAAAATTGATACATGAATGTATATATCACACTACATAAATGATTAATTCAATGTAGGAAGAAAATTTAAAGTTAAATCTAGTAAAACATAAAAATTTATATCCACATATCGACCCGGGGGGCAAATGTAAAGGCCAAGGGTCGGAAGCTTCTCAACGTGCTTTCAGATAAATGCTTAGGAATATCTATTGTTTGCAACAGCTCTACCAAGAGATCCAAATCTCACCTTCTAGAGGGTAGGGAACATAGTTCTCTGCACCCTTGCCTCCTGATAACACATTTTTGTGTGGCTAACGAGATTTGGTGCAAACGAATAGCTGGTATAACCAGCTTTCCAGTTGAGCTGGACGGGCATCGTTGGGATCGTCCGAAAAATCCAAGCACGTTTGTACTCACAGTGATCAGCGACTTGGTTGGCGTCTGTACTCCATAGGAGCGGCCAAATACTAAAAGAGAGGAACAACTTCACAATAAAGACTTCACGAATTAATATGATGCAATAAGTGAAACAAAAGCTATTAGTACCGCAGATGGTAATCCACATTTTCTGGAGAATCCATCCTCTTTAGAGGCCGATCCCGTGAATGATGGGTGGGATTAATTATTGCATTTATCCAGATCACCGATTGAGAGGCCATCATCATCAACGAATGGGTAATCAAAAAACAACAGGTCCACATTTTCTGGAGAATCCATCCTCTTTAGAGGCCGATCCCGTGAATGATGGGTGGGATTAATTATTGCATTTATCCAGATCACCGAGGGAGAGGACATCATCATCAACGAATGGGTAATCAAAAAACAACAGGAAACAGCATTTCATAAATAATAAGTCATCGTAGATCTACAAGAATGAACAACAGGACAAAAGGGCCAAGGATGAAGAATCAAGAGCAGATTCGTTTAAAAAGGGCAGAGTGGTAGCTAGGTCGCCGACGTCCACTCCTGGTGACATAAAAGTACAACAACCGGGAACACCAATTTTCACATCGTCCTCGGTAGTTACGGTGTCAAAAAAACAGCAATAGCCAAAGGACACCTTTATGGAATTAGACAGCGAAATAATTCAAAAAGAACAGTCTAAAAAAATTAAAGACTTAGAAATGCTTTGCCAAGAGTCAAAAGGGAAATAAGTGAACTTAGATCTGTAAATAATGATTTTAGAAACAAACTAAGTAGCTACTCAAAAGAAACAAAAAATATACCAAAAGAATACTTTACAGATGAGGAAAAATTAGCCAAAGAAATCGAATAAAAAATTTAAAAGAGAAAGAAAAGTAAAGCAGGAAGCTCTCCAGAGATAGGTAACAACAATCAACAAAACTCTTCAGAAAATACAATCATATCTTAAGCCTGATAAGGGAGCAACACAAGCCTCCACCAGTAATTTTAAGTAACATAAACGATTACAACACAGTAAAAGTGCTCTAAAGGAAAAAAATAAACGCTACGAGGTGAAAGTCTTAAACAGCAAACAGTTAAATATTAATGTGGAAAAAGAAATAGATTAAAGAAGCTTCATTAAAACAATAAATGAAAGAAAATCGAAAATGGCATACCTACGAAAACAAAACTTACAAGGTCAATTCAAGTGGTTGCAAGGGATCTTCACCCATCGTGTCTGCCAGAAGATATTGTAGTAGAACTAAAACAAAGGAACTTCAAAATACATGCATCATCTAATATTGCTAAAAAAATTAGAGAGGATGATAAAATGAAATTAATCTCATTTTAATGATAAAATGAAAAGATACGAAAAAAATTTATAATATCACGCATATCCAAAATACGAAAGTTAAAATAGAGGCTCCCAAAAAAAACAGGAAGATGCCACAGTGCATAAGATGTCAACGCTATGGCCATAGTACAAAGTTTTGCAACAGAGAAGTGACATGTGTGAAATGTGCAGCAAATCACCTGATAGCTTCCTGCACCTAGCCAAAATTAGCTAAACCAAAATGTGCACATTGCAAAGAATCTCATCCAGCCAATTACAGAGGATGTGTAGGAGCCAAAGATCTTCAAAGAAGAAGAAACATGAGGAAAGATATAAAACAGAAAAGTCAGCCAGAAAGAGCCAAGAAATTTTAGCGAATTTTATTAAGCACATCGGCCCTACTAATATATTCACTTGTGTGAAATTTCAATATCACAGTGTTTATAGTTTTTGAGATATAGCCAAATAACTTTTGAAGGTGTATGGCAGGTACCAGAAGCAGCCAAGTAATTTCAACGACTTTTGTCAGACACATTGGCCCTACTAATATATTCGTTTGTGTGAAATTTCAATACCGTAGCTTTAATAGTTTCTGAACTATAGTCAAATAACTTCTGAAGTTGTATGGCAGGTACCAGAAGGAGCCAAGTAATTTTAACCACTTCTGTGAGACACATTGGCCCTACTAATATATTCGTGTGTGTGAAATTTCAATACCACAGCTCTTATAGTTTCTGAGATATAGCCAAATAAATTTTGAAGTTGTATGGCAGCTACCCGAACCGGTACCCCGATCATGTCCAATTTAAATAGGGTTCTGGCACTTAATGCAATAAATCATTTTTGAAAATTAGGTGACCTTAGCTCAATTAGTTTTTGAGTTATCGTTGGGACGGACGGACGGACGGACAGACAAAGCTAAATCAACTCAGAATTTGACGCTGATAAAAAACATACACTTGAGTCTATATCTAAGACCGTTATTTCTTAGCGTTACAAACGGTAAGGCAAATTTATTATACCCTTCGAACATACGATCGTACGGGTATAAAAATATAGATATATGTCTTGTGCCAGAATTCCACAATTGCAAAGAAGTGAAAATTAACGGCAACAAAATCTATTCGGCGATGCACCCCGAATATACTTCGCAATGCAGTAGTGCAGTTATCATTAAGGAAGAAACCCAGCACTTCGAATTTTTCAAGGTTGAAAATAAAGAAATAAAGCTGAGTCTATTTAAGGTGATGGCGACAAAGCAAAACCTTCAGGTAGGAGCAATGTATTTGCCCATCTAAGCATTCCATAAAGAAACAAATTTTCAAGGAAGTGATTTAACTGTTATGGACAGATTTATTCTTGAAAATGATTTCAATGCAAAGCAAAGCAACTGAGATTCCAGGATGACATTGACAAGAGACAGAGAGCTTAGAAAAGACATAAGAGAAAATTTATGTATATTTCACTCCACAGGTAAGCCGACATATTGGCCCACAGATCTTAACAAAACACCTGATCTTATGGATTTCTGTACAACAAAAAGAGTGGCAGAAAATTTCGCTTTTGTCGAGGACAGCTATGATTTTGAATCCGATCATTCTGCGGTAATCTTAAGGGTGAATGAGCAGGTGCTGAAAAAAGAAAAGAAACCTTCTCTCTCGAACGCAACTACGTACTGGCCCAGTTTAAAGCTAAACTTAGAAGAAAGAATAGACCCAAATGCAGTACTTGATGCAGAAGACGATAGCAAGCAGCTGTTGAAAACTTTACAAAGTTCAGCACATAAAGAAAATCTGTTTACAATTATCCCAGACACATAATAGATATGATAAGTTAAAAACGTAGAGCCAGGAGAAGATGGCAGCAAACACGAGATAGAATATATTAAACAATAGATCACAAAACTTAAGAAGATTGATCAAAGATATAAAAGGGCAGACTATACAGAAATATTTACAAAGTTTAACTACTACGAAAGAAACAGAATACTCGCTGTGGAAAAAGGGATGGAACTTGGGGGCGTAGCAACAAGGAACAGGCAGAAACATTTGCTGATCATCTGTATGATACATTTACACCGGACAACATCGAGTCTGATATCAACTTGAGCTTAAGATCAACTTATATTCCAGAAAAGGCATAAAATAACATTCTTCAACAAAAAAGAAATATCAATGGAAATAAAAGCCGAGATAATTATGATACCAAAGTTGAAAAAGCAGAACGACATCATACAGGCCAATTTCATTACTTGCATTTATTTCGAAGTTGTTTAAAAACCTTTCCTAAGAAGATATGCAACCTGTGTTTGAAGATGGCAGTATAATTGAAGCGCATCAGATCAGCTTCAGAAAGCAACACTCAACGATAGAACAAGTTCATCGAATAACGGATATTATTGGAAAAGCTCTAGAAGAAAAGTGTATTTGTTCTCAGAGTTTCTTGATGTGGCGCAAGCTTTCGATGAAGTATGGCATGAAGGTCTTGATTACAAACTGCATAGGATTTTATCAAAAAACTTCGTTGAAATAAAAGAATCCTATTTGGCAGAAAGAGTCTGCGTTAACAAATATACAAGCAGGTGTGCCTCAAGGCATTATCTTAGGACCAGCTTTGAATCTGCTGTTTAGAAGTGATAGCCCGAAGATGGTTGATATAATGATGACGACTTTTGCAAACGACACAGCAATTCTACCAGTTGCAAAAAACGTAAAGGACCAACGATAGGATTTCCCAGTGGAAAATCAAATTAAATGAATCCAAATCTTTACACGTCAACGTTACTTACAAAAAAATAGAGACACCTATCCCACATTAACAATAACTAGTAACTAGGCCACATGAAAATTCAGCCAAATACCTGAGAATGATACAAGATGCGAAATTGAGATGGAAGGAGCATGTCAAGAAAAAGAGGGCAGAACTAGAACTGAAATATGCAGGGCTAAAATTTTAAATTGACCGTAAATCTTTGCTCTCCACGCACAATAAAATTTTGATCTACAATTAAATATTAAAGCCGGTCTGGGCTGGCGGTATTCAGATATGGGGTTGTGCAAACCAACTTCATTTTAAACTATTCAAACATTTCAAAATAGAGTATTATGCAATAGTATCGGCGCCCCTTGGTATGTTCGTAATACTGATATTCATAGAGATCTCGAGATTCCTTTCATTACAGACGACATAAGGAAAAGGGCTGCACGCAACTAAATTCATCTTTCCCAACTTTCCAGAGATGGCACGTTTAGCTAACGATCAAAATTTTGTTAGACGACTCAGACGAACAAAACCCTTTGAACTGTGTTAGGATAACGTTTATTACCTATAAAAAATATTCCCAATGGAATTTTGGTAGATCATAGAGTTCTTTAAAAAAAAAAAAAAAACAAAAAAAAAAAAGTTTTTTCGCGAAATTTATATTGATAGTCAATAAAGTACTGGTTTTAGTTTAAACAAGGATCAAAGGTTTTAGTGACCTTAAAGTGGCAAAGAATTTCAACCCGCACACCGGTAAGCAGCCACTGAATTCTTTGTTGATGATTTCCTCCGATCGAAAAAAAAAATATATATACCGACCAAACAATCGAGAAATAAAAAAATTGTATGCATCTACGTAATAGTACACCGATGATAGGCGAAAGACTTACGCTTTCAAGTAATTTCAAAATTTTGAATAGAAAATTGAAAAAAAGAGCTAAATATCTAAAAAAAAGTCCGTTTTTTTTTCTCGATTCGTTACATCAGCTTTTACAACTTTGCTCAACATAACTCTTATGGAATTCGTACAGTACTGCAGGCAATGTGATAATTTCTGTTGTTAACAAAAAACTTTGTGAATACAACTTTACTCTAGCTTCAACAGCACCCAATGTGTCCCTCCCCTCTCCAAATCTATATGACTTTTTTCTGAAAAAATCAAATAGCAGACAAATAATACATAGAACATAATACGCATAGAATGTATGTTTTCTTCTTTTCTGAATGGTGTTTTTTGTAGAAAGTTTTGCAAAACCTTTATGGCTATTTACGTTTATGAACAAAAGCAACAATAAAGTTTTATTAATTAATAACATATTTTAATAATAAAAATTATTAACATTAATATATTAATTCGGCAACAATATTGCCATATTGACATATTAATTTATGCGATGTACTGTGTTATATATTTTCTGAGATATGGCCAAACTACTATTGAAGTTGTTGCCAGCTACCAGAAGCAGTCCAGAAATTCCAACGATGTTTATCACACATAACAGCCCTAACAATACACTTATTTTCACAAGACTTCGATATTATAGCTCCAATAATTTCTGGGATAATGCCAAATAACTTTTGGAGTTATATGACAGCTGTCACAAGTGCACATGAGATCTCAACAACTTTTAATACCTGCCATTTTACCATATTTAATTTTGCAAAATTTCAGTACCGTAAGTTGAACGGTTTTTAAGATATAGCCAAATAACTTTTCAAGTTGAGTAAGGAGAGTAAAAGGAGCCAAGCAATTTCAATGACTTTTATCAAACACTATAGCTTCTATAATTTCTTAGATATAACCAAGTAAATTTGTAAGTTGTATGGCAATTACCCGAACTTGGACCTCGATCATAGCCCATTTAAACAGGGTTCTAACATTTACTATAATAAATCATTTGTGAAAATTTGGTGAACTTAGAATCAGTTTTTGAGTTACTGTTGGGACGGACGGACGAACAAACGGATAATCATAGCTAAATCGACTCAAAATTCGACGCTGATCAAAAATATATACTTGAGTGCATATCTCAGACCATTATTTCTTAGCGTTACAAACGATAAATCAAATTTTGTATACCATTTGAACATATGTTCGTATGGGTTTAAAAATCGGATGTGATTAGCACCTAACCTGGGGCAATGTATATCGCCAAGTTAGTGAAGTTAGTTATTACAGAAGATTATATAATTGCATTTTGAACACTTCCTTTCAATTTTAAGGACGTTTGCAAGCTTTTACCTAATATACCTAAAAGAGTGTAAATTTGGCTCTTAGTAGCATTCTGCTTTATGCCACCCGAATACCCTCACAAGTTCATCAGTTGATTTTGGTAACTACCAGAACTCCAATACCAAATTTTAAAAAATTCCATAAATCCGTTACGTAGATATAGTAAAAAATGTAAAATCGTCCCAGGGTCGGTTTCCGGACCCTCACCTTTCCAAAAAATTTTTAGATTCATTGTTATTCATTGTATAAATATTAAATATCAAAGAAATTAGTTCATTATTTCTATTTATATACGCAAAAATGAAAAATTGGCCTGCAAAAGTGTCCAGTTCGCGGGACCTGACATAACCCAAAACTTAATCAACTCGTGTCATACCCAATATAAACTCATTTATAAAATTTCATCAAAATCGGTTCAGCCGAACTTAAGATACACGCCTGCATACACAGACCGGCAGATCGACAGAGCGACGAAACGGCAGACCGACCCCTCTCTAAAAATAGTTTATTTACGCTTCTCTACTATGGCGAAGCGCGTTCTCATTCAAAACTCGACATGCAAAATTTGGTGCCATCACGTCACTTACCTGCGATGGAATGCGATCGGTAAAAAGTGAAGAGATTCACTCCGTTCTCATCTTTGAGTATAACTTTATTTCGTATGTTTGTATATGAATAATTCACAAATAATATTTCTTTGCTGAAATTATTTATTTTGCAGAAAATTTTAAATATCATTATAATAACAATAAAATGTATCAATTTAAGAGTGAATAATGTGTAATGACTTTCTGAGCAAAATCTGTACACGTTTTATACGATACAGTTTTAAAATACGATACACATAAAAAGCGTTTCCATTTGGATTCAAATAGTAATACATTTTGATTCAAAATGGAAAAAGAAATTTATATGGTAAAATTTATGTAACGTCAGATACTTGATATAATTTGTATGTAATAAAAAATTTGTTTTTTTTTTTTAATGTGAATTGTTTTGTTAATATTCCCCTTTATAAAGTGAAGACGTGGTTAAAAAAGAAATATATAGTAACGGTGTGATGTCGTTGAATGCAAAAAGTAAAATGAAATAACAGTGGGAATTATTTATAAAATATATTGTTTTAGAATGTGAAGCTCAGTTAATTAATGAGGAAGTAAACGACAATATACCATTCACTTTTGTGTGTAATAACCAAAATATTAATTACAATTTGTTGAAAAAGGCTTAGTTTTGGAGTCGTTTTGTGTCCGGAATTCAAAAGATTAATGAAACGTCGCTGCAAAAATGTCTCACAACAATGTGAAAAATGTTTTGCTAATACAATCGTCTTGTATTTTAAATCATGTTATTTGTTAATTAATGAGAAAGTAATATTTGTAATTGTGTTGTAATTTAAATTGTAATTATATAGTAATACTTGCTTAAAAAAGAAATATATGATAACGGTATGATGTCGTTGAATGAAGAAAGTAAAATAAAATATTAGTTGCTAAAAAAGGTATATTTATATTTCCCTACCAGGAAGAAAAGTGTTCCCACCAAAAACCCGATATGAAAAATTTGTTGCCATCCCATAACCTCCCTTATTGTATGCAATGCAAAAAAGGTAAACATCGGAAATTCCATTCACAATGGAACAGTAAAGTTTAAAAATATATAATATTCATGAAAAGTTTCCAAGAAATAAATTGCATATAGTCAGGATAACCTAATTTTCGTATGTACATCCTATTTCTTCTGATTAAATTTCTTCTAAAATTGAATTAAAAAAATTTTGAAAATAACTATTAATTATAGAACTATATACGTAAATAGCCATTCAAGAAAAATATTCTTTTTGATTTCATTGAAATTTTGTTTTACATCACATTTGAATGTAAATTGGTTTCAAAATTTTAATGGAATTTATGAAAAAATACGCAACTCCTCGAAGCTACTAAATTTTAAACATTTTATGGTTATGGTTATGATTCTAATGACAATATTTTAAATTCTAAAATTGAAAATTAACTAATTTACAAACAATTTCTTTCAAACAATTAGGTATGAAAATTTCTTTAATCACTCGTAAAAGGTGTATGAATATTTATATTTAAATTTTTTAATAGAAATAGAAAATGGTAATATATGTACATATTTAAATATTTGATGAATACGCAGTTAAAACTTTTAAAATACATTTAAAAACGCTTTGTTGCTAGAAACCATTAAGAAACTTTAACAATGTGTTTATTATGAATTTTTTACTATAAAAATGACTTCAGAGATAACGTTTACATTTTTGAACTTGAAAATACCGAAAGGATAATTTATCGAAACAAAGTAACTTCCCGATATTACTAAATCAAAACGAGATTTTTATCAATGAAATATATTATGTACGTATAACTTTAGTATACCTGCTCCTAATTAAAATTATTAAAAAA